ACCATATCTTGAAGCATTTCTGTGGTTAAGTTTCGATCTCTCGATCCGGATTGCATTCTTGTGCCAGAGTGTGCAAATTTTAAGATGATTTTCTGTTGTAATGTATTTTTCTACATCATGTAAGCTTTTTTTGAATTCGATACGTGTCGTTCAGATATGACGGTTTTATGATGACGTAACATTTCTATGCTTGATAACACAGATCTCAGTGACTACGTGCAAATCCTTCGTTGCGCACGGTTGCCATTCATTTACAAGGTTTTAAAAAAACGCGCCATATCTGACCGAGCCTTTAATGTTGTAAAAGTAATATGCTCCATATCATATCCAACTGTTTGTATAACATTTCAGTTCATATGTCGGCAATGATTCCTTGATGAATTTTGCAGATTTTTATGATGAATGTCTCATACAATGCTTCATTTGATATCATATATCACTGTTAAAATCAGATATGAGCCAGTGTATTAGCAATTAATTAAAAACGTGTTGACATTGCCATCTGACTTTTTGTACCAACTTTGCTTTATTAGTTGCGTTATTGTATTTTCATTGTCAATTATTTTGTGTGTACATTTTTTTGAGGAGCTTCTACCTATAAGTTTCTGCAACTTTTTTGATGATCAAACCACTTCGTAATTTCCTTTAGTGTATTTTCCATTTTTATTGGCTTATCTATGTTTGCAAGAAACATGTTATTGTATTCTTTGCCTCTGTATGTTTTTATAAAAGTGGTGAATAAAATTCAATTCAATTCCATAATTGTTTTCTGTCTCGTAATTTTTCACGTTTATGATGTTGATGTAATGTTTACTGATACGATTCCATGTTAAAAATGATTGCATGTGTATCAAAGATGATGTGTTACTGTAATATTTCTATCAATTTTTATAGGCATGTTTAAATAACTGAACATTTTAATTGCATGGAAAGTATTGTTAGGGATCGACAGAGAGGGATATAATACTTGTACAACGTAAGGGCCGAAATTCAATAAGGCAAATGAAAGCGAGATCACAGACATGGCATATGTCATTTTGTGACGGAGACAAAGAAGAAAAGGGAATGCAATACGATACTGAAGGGGGAGGAGAGATTTTGGGAAGACGGAATATATTAGTTGATGAGATGAGATGAAAGGATTTACTCAGAATATGAGGAAAAGAACGGATCAGTTAAGACGATTCAAATTCACGCTAGTCGTGAATGCCACGGCGAATTGCCTCTCGAATTTATTGTAATTCTTTCAAATTCGTTATTCGTGTGACAAAACAAAAATAGCTAAATTGATTGCAAAAACTTATTAAAAAATGACAATAATGATAACGATTCTTCTACTAATAATAGATTGATGATGGGGGTGCTGATGACAGTAGGGAAGACGATGATGGTGGTCGAGTGATGATGATGGTGATTATGTAGTGTTCATGATGATGGTGATGATGGTGGTAGTGATGATGATGGTGATGATGGTGGTAGTGATGATGATGGTGATGGTGGTGGTAGTGATGATGATGGTGATGATGGTGGTAGTGATGATGATGGTGATGATGGTGGTAGTGATAATGATGATGATGATGATGATGATGATGGTTGTGGTGATGATGATGATGATGATTATGATGGTGATGATGGTATAGTAGTGATGATGATGATGATAGTGGTGATGATAGTCATGATGTAGTGTTCATGATGATGGGGGTGATGATTGTAGTACGCTGTCATCAGGTTGCGGTATATATCACAACATTTTCAATAACACAGTCAAGGGTTGGATAATGTCGATCCATGGAAGAATTTTCCTGTAGATAAACTTCATTCCTGGTCATAAGATTCAAAGGGTAGCTCCATGGATATGATGGGCCGAGTTTGCAGATTCTACGATGGAAATTAGGAACTGGGCTACCTCATACTTCGAAGTCAACATGCATATAAAAGTCTTCAATAAGAACTCGTCCTGGTAAAGTAGACATGTCGTAGGTACGTTCTTCAAATTCTTTAAGAAATTATATTATTACGAAAACGTTTAAAGCGAAGATGGTACTTGGGTAACGTGGCGGTCAATTATCTACCAGGAAATCAATGGGACCAGCCAGTGGCGGATCCAGGGGGGGGGGGGAGCCCAAGGGGCCCGGCCCACCCCCCCCCCCCCCCCTGGGAAAAAAACGTGTAAAAACACGTTAATTTGATCTTTTTGGGGGAGTTGGGCCCCCCTGGTGGTAGTGTTAATGATGAAGATGATGATGATGGTTGTGATGATGATGATGATGATGATGATGTTTATGATGATGATGATGGTTGTGGTGATGATGATGATGATGTTTATGATGGTGATGATGGTATAATAGTGATGATGATGATGATAGTGGTGATGATAGTCATGATGTAGTGTTCATGATGATGGGGGTGATGATTGTAGTACGCTGTCATCAGGTTGCGGTATATATCACAACATTTTCAATAACACAGTCAAGGGTTGGATAATGTCGATCCATGGAAGAATTTTCCTGTAGATAAACTTCATTCCTTGTCATAAGATTCAAAGGGTAGCTCCATGGATATGTGGGGTCGAGTTTGCAGATTCTACGATGGAAAGGAACTGGGCTACCTCATACTTCGAAGGCAAGTCAACATGCATATAAAAGTCTTCAATAAGAACTCGTCCTGGTAAAGTAAACATGTCGTAGGTACGTTCTTCAAATTCTTTAAGAAATTATATTATTACGAACACGTTTAAAGCGAAGATGGTACTTGGGTAACGTGGCGGTCAATTATCTACCAGGAAATCAATGGGACCAGCCAGTGGCGGATCAAGGGGGGGGGGGGGAGCCCAAGGGGCCCGGCCCACCCCCTCCCCTGGGAAAAAAAAACGTGTAAAAAAACACGTTAATTTGACCTTTTGGGGGGAGTTGGGGCCTCCCTGGCGCTCAAGGGGGGGGGGGTGCAAATTTTAAAATTTTTGAGGGCCAAATAAAAAAAGAATGTGCTCACTACCCCCCCCCCCCCCCCCCCCCCCACTGAGCAAATTTTCGGCCGGCGCGATTTTCACATTTTCAGGAGAAAAACAAAACCAAAAAAAAATAGTGCTAAATACACCCCTCCCCCCCCCCCCCCCAACTGAGCACATTTTTGGCCGGCGCGATTTTCAAATTTTTGGGAGAAAAATGAAAAAAAAATTGGGCCCCCACCCCTTAGAAATCCTGGATCCGCGCCTGGGACCAGCATCAATAACAACGTGCGCAAGTACAAAGGTAGAGAGAGTCAAAGATGTACTATCTTTCAGATATAGTTGAAGTGGTGACTTGAATATAATTGCAATGCCCCCATCAAGTTCTGATGGTCTGTACATTTATAAAGGTATACCCATGTGGAGAGCACTCGCCAACGATGAATTGATCTTCTGCCATGTCTCTATTATGATCATCATATCAATATTGTATTCACAAATATAATCGTGAAGTAGGAAGGACTTATTGCGTAGAGTGTACATTCCGCAAAAAAAAAATTCTGCTTTGATGTTACCCTTTTTAGGTGCCCCATTTTTCCAGAAAGTGCACTTTTTGAGTTGGTACCCCCTCAATTTGAAAGATGCTCCGCTGCCCCTGTTTATACCAATATGAAGAAGCTTTAAAAAAAAAATTATATATACATTTTATTTTTTTTTAAAAGTGAGGGGGTACTAACTAAAAAAGGGCACTTTCTGGAAAAACGGGGCACCTAAAAAGGGTAACCATTAAGCAAAATGTTTTTTTAAAGGCTTTGTTATAAAACTTTACATTACAATTACTACTTTATTGGGGATGACCTTCAAGATTTTCTCTGGTCAAGATTCTGCTTGCTCATCATAATTTGCAGCCGGTGTGATGGTCTGAAGATTCATTCATGACCGAACGAGCAGAAGTTTCAAGATTATGAGGTCGCACTTTGCGACCGATTAGATCTTATCAAGAGGAAACAACTCATCTTATTCAGGTTTAACGCATAATCTTATAATGAATTATATAATGCAGGCGAGCCAGCTTTTCAAGAAATTAGAGAAAAAATTGCTCTCAGTTGCTTTAAATTAGGGGAACATGTTATAAAGACTATGAGGAAAATGTTGTTACCGATGAGCGGAGGGGTGAAAACAAAATCTTGTCAAAATGGGCACTAAATCATCACTTTTGAAAAGTGGCATTTTATCGTAGGGGAAAAAGGGGTGTTTATGAGAAGTTTTTAAGAAGGTTTTGATAATAGCAGAAAAAAATGAGAGAAATAAACAGAAATCGATTAAAAATAAGTTATTAATTTTTTAAGGTGAAATCGATCAAACACATTTAGCAACTCTGTGAAGTATCTTGCGAGGTCCCCTTCCATTTTGTCTGTACTAAAAAAAACTTTCAAAATGTTCAATCGTACATTCACCCTGAATATATTTATTGCAAATATGTTTTTAAAACAAGTCTATTCAGTCATCACTCATCAGTAACTAAAAAAACGAAAGTTTATGACATTTCTGTACAGAGCACACTGGAGAGAAGCTCGCAAGATAATTATTCAGATTTGCTATTTTGCGTTTCATTGATGACAACTTTAAAAATTCATAACTTTCCTATTTGTAGTCGGACATTGCTCAAACTTTCACTGCCCCGTTTCTCTCATGTTTCTGCCCTTATTTAATATCAGGGTGAATTACCCGTTAAGCTTGCATCAGCAATGGAATAGCACAACAGATAAGATCCAATGAATTTTACCCTAAATGGTGATGTGATGCCACTGTTTCTACTTTTTAGTATATTGTGCTACTACATTTGCAACAGATATACTGGCCAATAGAATCAGACCAATGGCGTCAAGCCTGGCTACCTCCATTGTTATGTCAAGGAACATTCATGAATCAAAAGAAAGAATGGCATGGATGGGTGACATTGAATGAGCCAGCTGCAATGAGTAAAGCACATTTTAATTTGATGACATTTTTAGAAAAATCAGAAAGCAGAATAACAAAAGACAAATAGCGGTCCTCTTTAACAGTTCTCATTTTAATTCATGATATATGTGATTTTGATAGAAAACAATATTGAATTAAAAATCAGCATTCAGAGTATGTTAAATTTACATTAAAAATATTGATATATTTTCAGTATAAGTGAAAGTTAATCATATTGCATTGAATCAATATCTCATATGATTATGGAATTAATCATTCAAGGTTATTCACAAGACATACAAAGATTTCATAAAATATAGAATATTTAGAGATTTATATAGCAGAGGTGTTGGAGGGACTGGCATTTATATATTATTGCAAAATATCTCAATTCGTATCTCTATTGAATGGACTAGCAATATCAATCTCACAGTATCTGTTTTGGTAATCTGACAGCAGACAGAAAAAGAGGGACATTATTACCTGTTATATACCTCTCTTTAGAAATCTAGCCATCTGATTGGTCGAAATTGGAGTCATGATTTTAGCCATTCCCGTAAAGAAAAAAACAATGTCAGTAATGGTCAATAGTTCATGAGTGAGATTCCTGCAAGATTCTGGGTACCGGGAAAATAGTTAAAATTTTGCTGTGATCCCCATTGGTTGAAATGTTAAAACTGTCTTTGTGCGAGCGCGGATACCATTCAGTGCTTTTTTCTGCGATTCCAAAATTATTGTAACATTCGGTCATCTTTCCATCGACGATTAAAAGACAGTGTCTCAGACTTTCTGTGATGTTTTAACCAATCTTTACTCAAGAAAAGGATAAGATAAATTTGTGTGTCAATATAAACACATATAATACAACTACTTTAATATCCGAGGCCTGGCTGTTGGCTCTCTGGGACGTGCACATCCTGCCATGGCCACTCGGCGCGCCTCAGAGTCATGGCAGGATGTGCGTGTCCCCTTGATCCTATAAAACAGCCAGGCCTCTCATGGTAGTCGATATCTCTATATTAGAGACTTTTTTTTTTTAATTAATAGACCCCTTAAAATCCCCTTTAAAGACTATTTTCAAAATTATAGAATAGTATACAGTACAAAATAGTACAGAAGCAACAAGAATTAGATAGAAATGCTTTAAATTTCTACACCGAGATATTTATATTGTTTGACACAATTAAATATAACACATTTGTAGTTTGGAGATAACATGGTTAAGTTTGGGGCATTCAAAAATTAAGTTGAATTGCAACGATTCAACTATACCCTCAATAATGTTAATTAAAGCCAAGTACCTATATGATGGGGGTATACTGTCTGATAAGTGTAATGGCAAAAATACAAATTAAATGCTGAAAGTGTACTGCACTTCACATTTCAATATCTTATATATCTTCAATATAACAAAAATTTAAGCGAGTACACTTATACACAGCCATGTTTTCTCACCCCCTTTAAGCATCGTTTATGCAAGAAAGAAAAAAAAAAGATACAGTTAACTGCATCATATGCGAAACAGTTGTCCAAATAATCTTACATTTAGTAACTAGGCAAGACCACACCCTCAACTTTCCGTGAAGACCAATCTAGTTGTTCATTCTGAGAGATGAACATTACTTGATAGCTTTGGTTTGAATCTCATCAAATCTACTCCCTGGCGTACGGTAATGAGTGCTGAATTCAAGCAGAGCTTCGTCTTCTACAATCCTAGGAGCGATGATCTTATCTTGACGCATTCGATCCATCCACTGCTTCAACAAAACAAAGGAGTCTAAACCGCCATCACCAAGACTTCTCGAGTACGGGATGCGGTAGATGAACGGCCAGATTGAAAAGTCAACCATACCGGGTGATGACCCTAAACCAGACAAGAAGACATATAAAATAGTACAAGTTGAAGTTTTCATGTTCCAACGGCTTGTCATATCATTATTCAACACTCCCCTGAATTCAATTCATTATATCACAACATCATATGCGTAGCCAGGGGGTGAGAGCACAAGGGGGCCAAAAGAAAAAAACAACAACAAGAACAACAACAACAACATGCAGTACCTCATGCTTCATGTAGGAATTGCATACACCCCCCAGCTACTACGCGCGTTCGGTTCACTTTACCAAGCTGGAACATGCATGCACTGGCCGACTGATGGAGGGGGGGGGGGGGAGCAGTTGCCCCCTCCCCCAATAAAATTCAAACATGGTTTATTTCTAATTCGATACCAGTGATTTACAAATGTTGCTGAAATGACATTTTCTGGGGTTTTCCTCACTTTTTTATAAATTATAGTTTTAAATGCATACGTTGGAAATGACAAATTCCCAAATTTACAGTCAGGCAAGAAATAAGCTTATTTAGAGGCCTAAATGCTTCTGAATTCTGAGCTTACCAGAAAAGAAGGGTGTTCCTCTTTTCTTGAGCTCTTGTTCCACGCTTTCAACATTCTTGATTGCAGCAGACCTTAGCTCCTCGTTTTCTCCCTTCTCTTTACCCGAGAGATAGAAACCTGAAATGAACTGTAGAGGAATGTGGTTACAGTAACTATCTGTCAGTTCTCTCTGTTTTGCTGGTGTAAATCATACATCTTTTTGAAAACAAGTTATGGTCGATAACAACACAATACCAAATTGATGATGAATCAAATTACTGCTTGATTTCTGTAAATAGTGAAGTAACATTTATCGCCAAACGTATAATAAGCCTCTAGGGTAAATATCCAAAATTATGTTTCTGACACTTAAACTGATTTTAATTTTTACATTGTGGGGGAAAAACTTTGAATAATATTAGATATTAAATAGGATCAAAAATGTATAAGACGGTGACTTAAAGTATAGACCAGTTTTGGAAACGCCCCCTTTCAAAAAAAGAAATGGAAGCTCTTATTACCAATCCTGTGAAAGAATATGTTTTGACTAATGCGTAATGATACAAATTTTGCCGGTAAACCACCTACTAATTGATATATTTGGAAAATTATCATATCAATCCGGCCTGGATAGATATCGCGAAAGCACTTCAACTTTGAACATTTGGGCATATATTTCTGTTTTTTGCAAATTTAGGTTGAAGTTTAATGTACAATGAATATCAAGACCAACACAGAAAGTATTTCGGGCTTTAAAATACAGCACCTTTTAAATCTCCATTGTACTACTTATAGCTACTTGCGCCCTCTATGTAGCAAACAATGCCTAATCGGTGACCATTGGTCCCCCATGATCCTCTTTATCTTATATTAACCGAGAGCTGATTTGATGAGATAACCACCTGTCCAGTGACCTTGTAGGGTGGTCTAATCCCTCCCGTAAACTAGTACAGATGGGCTTTAAAATGAGTTGAAGAATGCTCAGAACCTGATTTGAATGAACAGCATTTTGACATAGAAAAATGAAAATGGCAAGTTTAATAAATACCTAATTGCGTACTGAAAAGACCAAACTGGCAACGGGACATATTTTGATCCTTGCAAATGCATAAAATGGTATGTTTGGCATTTAAGATTGCTCCCCAAACAAACAAAAAATTATTTTAAAAAAAATTTTAAAAATACGAGTGGCCCGAAAATGACGAGCGGGCGGTCGAGGACAACCAAACAATTTTTTTTGGGGGCCTTATCAATGAAACCAGGGATCTGCTGATAAATCTTATCTGGTCTCAGTTCAGATAATGAAATCGAAATTTTGAATTAAACTTACCTTTCCAAATCTCTGAATAAAAAGTTTATCCCTGCTTCTGAGGTACGGATCCGATGGGAACATTGGAGCAATATCGGGGTAAAGTTCGTCTAGATACTCACAGGTGACAATGGATTCCTGGATCAGTTTGTCATCCTGTTCCAGAGTTGGGACCACGCCATCTGGGTTTTTGTCGAAGTACCACTCTGGCTTCTGGAATGTGTTCACATTCACTAACTCATAGCTATGAGGAGAGATAAAGCGAGAGAGAGAGAGAGAGAGAGGGAGAGAGAGGGAGAGGGAGAGAGAGAGAGAGAGAGAGAGGGAGAGAGTGAGAAAGAGAGAGAGGGAGAAAGAGAAAGAGCAATCCATGGATCAGTGTACCCAAATAAAATGCAATGTTGAGGTTTGAACCCTGTGACCCTTAAATCTCCCATGCAGTCAGTGATGAAAGGACACATTTACAAAAAATGCAAATTATATCCTTGAATCACCTAAAAATCACTGGAAAACCCTTCAACATACATCATACCAAATGCACACACAGTACACACACAAAAGAAGAAAGTTGTGATCTTCATAATTAAGCAAAATTAACATCTATATGTAAAATTACATAATAACATTTGACATTTCCCCCAAATGATGCATATTTAGGGGAGTAGTGTTCCAGGGGGTAATTTTCCAGTAAGGGGGGTGGGCCGGGGAGGGATGATTATCATCCAGGCCTCCATTGGCACGTAATTGTTCTGATATGAATGCTTTACATCACAATTTGTCAATTTAACCTAGGTGATCTTGCATCTTAATCTAACCATGATTGTTCTTTCAGGGTAAGTTTTAGGGGAAATACTTACTCAATACCCTTTGCTGCCAAGACAAATCTTGTCCTCTCAGCGAAAGGACAGAATGCCATACTGTAGAGACGAAGAACCCCTGGTTTAAGGGGTGGCAAAGCCTCTCCTGAAAAAACATGAACAAATTAAATTATTAGTGACAATCGTTTCAACATTCCCAATCACAATAATTGATGTCTTTAAGCTTGTGAGATAGTAATCTCTGCATATAACTTCTTTTGCACAAATCATTGTTGATAATTATGGGGGGTATTTGTGGCTCCACCTGTATAGATCATGCATCGAATATATCATTCAAATAAAACACTATAAATCAAATCATAGGCCTAATGTAAACCTTTAGAGAACTTAAGGAAAATCCAACTTTAGTAGCATTACATCATACATGCTTTGAAAGAAAGCAGAAAATTGAAGAAGCAGATTGATGGTGAAACTGTGTGTAGTCTACGTTTGAAATGAAACAATGAATGAGAAAATGATGAATTTTTGAAAGTTGTAAAACGGAATTAAAATGAAGAAAAGAAGAGTAATGATTTAAGGAAGACCTAGTTATAAAGTCATCACGTCCTATTCAAATATATATCTTACCTGTTTTGAAATGATGATGTTCCGATTGTTCCGGCATTTTTGCTGTAAAAATATTCACGACGCGAAGCGATATGGTTCCAGAACTGGTATGGCTGGAATGATGCGGACAAACGTGCACCAAAAATTAAGCAGCGTCGAACTTGTTATTGGGCTTTTATACTCAAATAAGCTTTCGAGATATGTGTTTACGCTTGTACTTGAAAAATATGCCTAATCATGGTTACTTTATTTGCTATATTAATAAACTCAAATCCAGCACGCATAGCTAGCAGCTCACCGTGGCGCGATACCGTGTAATTACAATGCATGTGATGGCAACAATCCGTGGCAAAGGTGAAAAGTGGGCGGGGCTCAGTATACGCTAGTCTAGTGCACCAGGATTTGTTTCATCCCGATTTGCTATTGACCCAAAAATGTCAGTGAATTTCGAGGAATAGGCACCGTATTCATGACTTGAATACATTAGGAAAAACTTGTCAATTGGGGGCAAAGCTACTCAAATTTTAGAGTGTCTTGATATAGGCAACACAATGCATGTTTACCAGTATATCTAAAATGTGTATAATTCATAGCAGTGGTATTATGGAAACGACTGTCCTAATTATGCTCCTTCGGACTTCCCCGGTTTATAAACGTGACACGAAACGTGACGTAAACAAGCATACAATTTTTGATGGATAATATAAAATGAAAAGAGTGTCCTGAAAAAAATAATTTTCCTTTGGACTTCCCCGGCTCATAAACATGACAAAGAAGCATACAGTTTAATTAAGGGTTAATAAAATGAAAAGAGTGTTCTAGCTGGAATAATACTTTTCCTTTGGAATTCCCCGATTCGTAAACGTGACAATTTAAAGAAGCATACAGTTTTTACGAATGATATGAAATCAAAGGAGTGTTCTTGAATCTGACCTTGTAATATACCAATTCTAGAATATTAAAAATGCTAAATCATGGACATCGTAAGAGATTACAAACATGTGACCTGTTCTTTGCCCTTCTATTGTACTACCACGCCATCGGTGGCGAAGCATAGGAGGTTCAGCCAATGTTGGGGTTTTGCTGCCAAGGAGGGAGGGTGGAGGGTGTCGAGGTGGAGGGTGGGGGTCTTACTAGATAAATGACAAGGCCATTGAGCTGAGCATCGAGAAAGGGGTCGTATCACCTCTCCCCCCGCCCCTTTTCTCTGTTTTTGTCTCTCCCATCTCTTTCATTTTATTTTTTTTCAATTTTTCAATTAATGAATTGGGCATGTGTCCCTGAGCTATAGCCTCCACCATTAGTGGCAACAATAACAATTATGATTATAGGCATATATGTAATCGGATTACTTCCCCCACCCTTTTCCCAGAGACCAAAAAAGTGTGTGTGTGTGTGTGTGTGTGTGTGTGTGTGTGTGTGTGTCTGAGGAAGGGGGGGTGGTATATACATAATGCCACATCCGCCTTAAATTATGCAGGGGAATCCCCAATCCCCTTTTGAAAACATGTGATGTTTATTTATTCATGCACGATTCAAGCACATTCTTTTCTTTTAAATTCTTTGTTTTATACATTTACTGATTTTGATCACACTTTCTTCGTGATGAAAACCATAAACATTAATGAATTGAATTTTATTTTCACAATGTTAAAATGACCGTGAACCATATCAGAAGTTAATAGCAAAATGTTTGAATTAACAACACACCTCTCTAAATTGATCTTTAAAGATAGAACTTAAATGAAAATAAACAAATATACTCCACAGCCTTTCAGTATAAAGGATATGTCTTATCTTTATTGCATTTATAAGCCCTCACCAAGTTGATAAACAATGGTCAACCTGATGTTGACTTGACCCATGCCTTTGTAAATAGACAGTTCTATCTCAGCATATTCACTGAAATTAGTATTTCATATCATGCTGCAATCCTAATTGTAAACCTTTTAGGTCAGTCAGGAATCCCATGACTTTTACAAGCCGAGCGCACGTTTGATTATCAAGATATTTATGAGTGGAATTCAAAATGTCAAAAAACTGTTTTCCCAATGGTTTTTATAACACTACAGTCAATTGGGGAAAATGAGTATGGTAAAACCGGTCACTCAAAGATTTTTACTTTTTTGAAGCACTTCATGATCATTTTGAAATACAATTTTTTTTAGGGCTTCAATATTACACCATATGACAGACACTGATAACACGTAAAGCCATGCATCTCAGATTTGTAAAACTGGAAACATTATTAAACAATGCCTTTAAAGGCTGTCACAAAGACAAGATAACAAATCTAAAATGACTCAAAGCAAGTGTTTGGCAGCCTAACTCCTTGTCTTTTCCTGATAAATCCATTTCTACGACTAGCAGCACATTCATTCATGAATATTCAAGATGTAATACATATACTTAAAATCAGTTCATGCTTAGGTTTATGATTGGCATGTCTCATACAACCTCATTCACACACAATCCGGTAAACTGCCTTTTTTTTTTTATAAAAAAAAAAATTAAAAAAAAAAAAAACATGGCAAAAATACTAGAACCATTTCCATGCAAATGAAAGGCAAGTGGGATGCAAATATTGTGCATGACAAAGGCCAAGCACACTCGTTTATCTATTGAAAGAGGAAACAGCAATATGAATCAAACTATGCTTTAAACTGCTGCGGCATTAAAAATAAAGTGGTTTTAGTAAAGAAATAATGAAATCTAAACTTCTTACCAGTACTTGAATTTCATTCCTGCATTTACTTTGTCACTAAACATATTGAAAAAAAATTAAAAAATCTTCTACGTAAAACAAATTATTATTATTTTTTTTTTAATTAATACAGAAAAAAAGAAAGCAGTACCTGGCTCTGAATGAGATATAACTCTTTTATCTGACACACAGTGCACCAGGTTTCCAAATACGGTAAAATGAAATATTCCATTCTCAAGATGAATATGAATTTATGGCCAACATATGAATGAGATTGTTACGGTCTACTAGTAACACATGGTCTCTATCAACAGCTGATATTATGCTCAACTTTGACATATGACATATGACATGCCCCATCCACAATCTAGATTAATTTTCTTCAGTTGTGTACATCGATGCATACACGTTATATATAAATGTCTCAGAACTTTCCCAGCTCATTTTGACTCTGAAGTTTGTCCCTTCACTACGTAACTCCAGGTTTCATTGTCATTCTCCTATGGTCCAATTAGGTGGATCAATGCGATACATGAATGTTTGTTCAGCTCCTCTATCAACCTCCCACAGGCAATGTGTCCAAAGATCACCATGGTAACATCATCATCTGTTACTCTTATCCTTGTCACATGGAAACGGTGCATTGTCCTCTCGCAGGAGATGTTCATGAATCCTCAGTGCTGGTGATTGAGAGAAAAGAAGAGAAGGAATATCTGAGATGGTGTATGAAATAGGATGTACATGTAATCAGTGAATGTCTTGATGCTTGACACACAATATACTGTAGCACCTCACCATTTTTGTCAGGGAGGGTCTAAATCAGGGCCAGTGATCAAGGGATATTCGTGTGAGGACATGATTCTGAGATGCTTAAGACAAATGATTAATAATCAAGCTTAATTGGTAATTAGAATCTGATTCATGTTTTCTGAGTATGATTAAAGTGTTCATGATTAAAAAAGATTTTGCATGAGCGGGTATATACGGGTTGCTGGATCAAGTGTTGGAGTGCTTCAATACCTAATTAGCTCTTGAACCTAAAATTTCATGCTAAGTATATGTATAATATTCTCACACTGAGGATACACATGAGTATACAGAAAAAATTTATTCAGAAACTCATGAATGAAAACACCTTCATCTCAATGACATGACTGTCCAAGTAAACAATGTTTTAAAACCAACTAATTAATTCACATTCCTTTCATTTGTAACTTCTTTGCAATTGTAACATTTGTAAGGAGTTTACTTACAATATCTGCCATCTTCTTTGTGAATGCCTTGAGCTACAGATGTCTTGAGCAATAATTGAACATCCTGCCCAGTCTTTAATAACTACATACCGGTAACAAAAGGAAAAAAAAGATTATACATTTCAAAAGAGACCTTTCTTCTGCAATGGAGCAATTTTAGAGTATAGGCACTTTGCTGAGTGAACGTTGTTATTGTAATAAAATCTTGATCAAATTTATGCATCATTCTCATCAGTTACCATATGGAAATATTTGTTTTACGGTAATGGTCGGGAATCTCTCTATTTAATCACCCAAAACATGTTTATTTCACACATGCTACATATTCTTTTCAATACAGGGTAGTCAATATCATTATTCTTCTTATTGAGGTAGATTTTCCAATTCTTTTCTTTTCTTCTGATGGACACTATAATATTATTTTTCCCTATGTATAATGTAATCTGCAATTCAAAAGACTGCCCCTTACCCAGAAATGTATGTTATGAACACTTACCTTCTTTAAAGCTTTTGGGTCTGAAACATCCTTATTTGAGTTAAATTCATCGCGAATCCTGAGTTGTGCAGCTGGAAAACAATTGCATATATATATAAGCAAAATTACATTATGATAATCGACATTCATTCTCACCACACTATACACATATCATTTCGAGACCCCAAATCCAGTTATCAAATATTCATTTTTAAGGGAATTACTGAATATAAACTATTAATCATAATTATTAATCATAATCATGAAGATCTATGATAACACTCCCAGGCATCATACTATTCATCTTTTCACATAATAAATGATCATTTACAATTTTCAGTCTTTACTATAAATATTGCAGCAGCGTAGCCGGTAGATCAAAGATTAAGACCCCCCCCCCCCCCCTCTACAAAAAAAAAAGAAAGGATGAACTATAACCATCTCTACAATGTCCGTGCCTAGCAATGCTAGATATTTACCTTCCAGAGCTTTAGCATCTCCAAGAAAAGTCTTTTGACTTGTTCTATGCAGTAACTTATACAGAGACAGCACCTATAAAATGAAAAGATAATAAAATCAAATCAGCCTTGATAAAATACATAATCCTGGGGGGGGGGGGGGGGTCATTGGGGTCACATATTATGCAATAAGCTGGTTTCACATTACATTTGTAATGACATTTCAAGACATATTTTAAGACTTCTCTGTTAAGTACCAGTACATCTTTTTTTAAATTCATGTTTTTTCAGAATGAATGCATAAACTGCCGAAATTGCTTTATACTAGTCAATACTTTCATTTTTCTTAAAGTGACTCGGTAACATTGTTGAACGTTAATGAAAAAACTTTGACATTTTTGTTGGTATGAAATGTTACTTATTATATTCCTTCTACTGTACTAACCTTCCAGCATGCAAAAAATCCTTAACAAATTCTCCAATCACAAAGATTTTATGGTTTTCTTTGAAGGCATCACTGTGCGACACCTCTAATAGTAAATTCTTCCAACCATTTTTGAATTTTCCCAACCGTTTTTCCATGAAAATAAGACAAGACAGGATTTTAAAAATCTTTGAACACTTAAATGTCTGGAATGTTATATAGAGCCAATTCAAAGCTTTATTACGATTTACATTCACCTAAAATGTAATTAAATTGTAATAATATGGTTGGGAGAATTAAGGAATCGATCAGATAAGGTTTTTCCCATTTTTTATCGTTAGTAAAGGTCTGTTTTCACTCAAACTTTCAGATTATATTAAATTTTTACAGTATACAACAGTTAACGGTTAGGGGCGCCATTTTAATTTACGAGTAAACAAACCAAATGACCTCTAGAGGTCAGTGTTTTATGCGTAAATTAAGATTGTGCCCATGCAAATTATGATGAGATCACTGCCTGCGCGCTGCGTTGTGCGCAATCTTAATTTACGCATAAATACCACTGAACTCTAGGTCATTGGATTTGGTTACTCGTCAATTGAAATGGCGCCCATTTCTGCGCATGTGCACTGATGTAACCGTAAACTGGTGTATTGAAGTCACTACCTTAGCACCATTTTCTCTCATTCTGAATGTTACAAAGTCCCTTTAAAACCCAATTCCACATAAAAACTGAACTAGACCTCTATAATGTAGTCACATGGTAATGAAGGATTCCTCTTTCAAGTAGAGGCATACACAGATGTTGATTGCCAGGACAAGTTTTTATCCCAATAGTTGATTTAATTAAAACAGCAATTTGAAGAAGTTTAATAACAAGCAATACATGTAAATCTAGGCCTATTGCATAATCCCTCCAACTTCCAAGTCCAAGACTTTGAGGCTGTTCACACCGGCAGAGATAGCGCGCGCTAGACCGCACTATCCCTGCGGTTTGGAAGGTACAACGTCGTTTCGGTCCGCCCAACAGCGAGCCACGGCGAGCCAAAACGGCGTGCCACTGGAGCACCTCTTGGGGGTGGTCCACGAGAGATAGCGCGGTCTTGCGCGCGCTAGAAAAAAGGGGGTGCTACGATAGACCGCGCTATCTCATTGCGGTGTGAACAGCCTCCTAGACACTATATAGATGTTTGACAATATCATAAAGCCATTAGGCCTAAAGGAAATATATTCATGATGTTTAGTGCTTTTTGATGAATATGTACTGTTAAATCAAAAGGAAAAAGAGAAGTTGTTATGTTTTTTGACATCCCCCCTCCCTCCATCAATCACCTGTTTAACTGTTTAAAAAAAAAAAAAAAAAAAAAAATCATGTGCAAAATTGACCCGTCATCCCTAATGCCGAATGTGGCATGCATGGACACACCACACAGATCTTTATAGTGTATGCATCCATGTTTATACGCAAAGAGTTTTCACTTTAATTCTTTGGCAGCCGATAATTTTAGATCTTGACCGAGTCTGGGATCGACAGCTCCCCCGAACTTCAGGCGCGGCGCGGGGCGATCAAGAAGAATGCACTGTGCGATACCGGTACCAAAATAAACGAGCCAGGCCATCAGCCATCACAAGCACATCACATTTGGCTAGATTTAACACGTTATCAACATATTAGTTAACATTATAAATAGTTTAGCAACATATTATAGCTTTTCAAAGTCCTTATAAACAAATAATCTGGAAAATATTTCACCTGTGACCGCATTTTTATAGAGTTTTGAAACTTGTTATCCGTCGAATTCCAGTAGCAGACAGGAAGGGTAAACGAACGTTGTTGTTGTTGTGTTTTGAGTTATTGGCGATTAGTCAGTGATTTGACTATTGTCGCCAAATTACTTTACGGCACGTGTTATATCTCTCAATTTTGGATTTTTTTAAAAATACATTTATTTCGTTTTATATTTATCTATCTTTTAAGATAGTATCGTAAAATAATATCGTAAGCAAAACATTCATGGGCTTTGTTAGTGTTTCTTAACAGTACGTGCAGATTATTTGTTATATCACATACACACCATACATAAATATGTATATAAGATAGCACCTACACAAGCTTCTATATTCAGTAATCTTATCATACCTTTTATCATTGTTGTTACTTTTTCTTATTTTATTTTCTTAATACATTATGTTATTATATTTTTAATGTACTGAGTGTAATTTAACATATTTATAATATCGTATTATGTTTTACTGTTCTTTTTTTTATTTTCTTATTACATTATGATTGTTATTATATTTTTAATGTACTGAGTGTAATTTAGCATATTATAATATTGTATAATGTTTTACTATTCTTATTTTATTTTCTTATTACATTATGTTATTATATTTTTAATGTACTGAGTGTAATTTAACATATTTATAATATTGTATTATGTTTTACTGTTCTTTTTTTATTTTCTTATTACATTATGTTATTATATTTTTAATGTACTGAGTGTAATTTAGCATATTTATAATATTGTATTATATTTTACTGTTCATCAAGGGAGGTATTACTTCCTGATAGGGAACCGTTTCGTTCTGAGAAAGAACCGTACAATAGCTTTTTGTATACTGGACTCACTCTTTTTTAAGTATTCCATAATTTTTTCAGGTTGGGATTCGTTAATTTCTGTTAGAAACATAGCCCTTTCTATAATATAGTTAGGGCAATGTACTAAAAAATGTTTTACAGTCTCTATTTCACTGGGGCATCTATTACAGAAACCAGTAGCATGAATTCCCAATCTGAGGAGATCCTGGTTAAGTCCAAGGACTCCAAAGCGGAGTCGATGTATTATTGTTGAATGTTGTCTCTCTAATGAGCATATATATGGTTTATTAACATCTTTTTGATATGTTTTCAAATACGAGTTGGTTTTGTTCCACCTTTCTTGCCAAAGGAGTTTGGAACTTGTAGTAATTAAGCTTTTCATTTCTGACATATTTAGGTTATTATTGACTTCTATTTTCTTTACTAATGCGGCCTTTGCGTGGAAATCCGCCATCTCGTTCCCTTTTATTCCACAATGTCCAGGTATCCACTCTACATATATATCAACTCCTTTATTCTTTAAGTGAGTAGTCATGGTGAGAATTTCCAGAATAAAAGATTCGTCCTTCTGTTGTTGTAATGCAATAAGTGCACTCAGTGAATCACTAAAAATAACAACCCCCACATAAATGTCTAATTCATCTACCCATCTGAGAGCAAGAATGATGGCAGCCAATTCAGCCCTGTACGAAGAGGTGAAATTTGCTAACCTTTTGCTCCGATGTACAGAATAGTAAGGGACGTAAAAAGCAGCTGCAGAGGTCCCTCTTTCAGGTACTTTTGATCCATCGGTGTATATATGTAATTGAGTCGCCCATTTAGTATGTATGATTTCCAGGCTGCTTTGTTTTTGTTGTGTAGGATGATCTGTTTTCTTTATTCGAGTACTTAATTCCGTTGACACTGCCGGAGGGTAGAATAACCATGGTGGAAATGGGGAGTAGGTTATCGTTTCTATACGTTTTCCCAGCTTGCTTTGTATTCTATATCCAAAAGGTTTGTTTACGTTTTTCCCCTTCAAGTATTCAAAATGCCAACATGGTTCAATGTTTTTTAACAACGGATGATTCGCCCATCTTTCGATGTTTTGTCTATATTTACTTGAAAGCATTTGTCTTCTTATATCCAAAGGCATTTCCCCCATTTCCACCTGTAGTGATTCTAAGGAGGTTAATGGCAGCCCACCTGCGCATATCCTCAGTGCTTGGTATTGGACAGAGTCAATGGCTTTTTTGGTGGTAGCAGCTGCACTGTCATACGCCTCACATCCGTAATCAAAAAGAGACCTTATAATTGCTCTGTACACCATGATAAGTGATTTCGAGGAACTTCCCCAGTTTGTTCCAGTTAGACATCTTAAGATATTTAATTTTCTTTTACTTCTCGTGATTACATTTTCGATATGTGGTTGCCAAGTTAACCTTTTATCAAATATAACCCCTAAAAAGCGATGAGATTTTTCGTACATTAACACATTTCCATTCAGTTCTATATCAGGCGGTAGAACGGCATTCCAGCTTTTCGTAAAAAGTACGGGCACTGTTTTGACAGGTGAGAGTCGAAACCCCCACTCTTCAAACCAACGATTTAAAAGATTCAAATATTTCTGTATTTTTTCAGTAATATGTACAATGTTCCTGCCTGATATCCATATTGCGCAGTCATCTGCATACATAGATATGCTTACATCTTGGTCTGTAGGTATATCACCCATCATTATATTATATAAAAGAGGACTTAAAACACTCCCTTGTGGTAACCCGTTATGCGTTTTATAAGTTTTAGATTCTGTATTTCCAATTCGTACTTGAAAAGTTCGTGCTGTTAGATAATTTTCTATATATCTCAGCATGTTCCCTTCTATTCCATTTTTTGCTAATTTAAAAACCAGACCCTTTATCCAAACTGTATCGAAAGCCTTTTCGACATCCAAGAAAACCGCTATTACATGTTCATTACAATTTATACTCTTTTGGATGTCATTTTCTAATTGTACAATATTGTCCGTCACACTACGACCTTTCCTAAATCCACTTAAAAAATTGGGTAATAATTCATGCTTTTCAACATACCATTGTAATCTTTCTTTTATCATTCGTTCAATTATTTTGGCAAAACATGATGTTAAAGAGATTGGTCTATATGACGATGTATTTCTGGGATCTTTTCCATGTTTGAGAATAGGGATTATTATAGAATGCTTTAGTTGAATTGGAATTTCCCCGGTTTTCCATATTAAGTTAATAATGTTCAGCATGATTTCCTTGTTTGCTTTTGGCAGATTTTCATAAACAACGTAAGGTATATTATCTTTTCCTGGGGCAGTCTTTTTTCGCGATTGCACTGCCTTTTCAAATTCTGTTATAAAAAAGGGTTCATTTATAACATGATCTACATTTAAAATATGAATGTCATTATTTGGTGCCTTCGGTAATTCCTTATTAGTATCCCTGTCTTTTATTCCTATTTTTTGAAAGTAATTTCCAAAGGCATTTGCTTTCTCCTGATCGGAGACAATATCTTTACTATTTACAATCAATGTTGACATATTTTTTGTTTTTTTTATTAGTACACCATTCAGCCGTTTTATACAAGCCCAGATCTTAGATTCTGGCATATACTGATCAAGCTTTGTGCAAAATGCTCGCCAGTAATTTCGTTCTGCTTGGCGGAGCACACGCTGTGCTTCTGCTTTCTTTTTTAAGTACTCATCTACCTTTTCAAAAGTTATTTTCCGTGACATCTTATTACACATTCTATTTCTCTCTTTGATTTTCTCTGTACATTCTTTGGTCCACCAAGGCACCGGATTTTTAGAGACATTTCTCCTTTTCGGTACAGTTTCTTTTATACACAGTTTTAAATATTTCATGAAATTATCATATATTTCCTGTATATCATTATTTATAAGTATGAGATCATTTGTAATCATCTCTTCACATTTCTTAGCAAATTTTTTCAAATTTATATGTTTAAAGGAGATAAAATCATCTGCACTTCTTATTGAAGCATCTTTATATTCAGAGCTTTTCCCGTCTAAAGTTGTTTGGATATTTATTGGGAAGTGATCACGCAATGTACGGTGTCGTTGAAACTACCTAAAAAACGTGAAAAATATGCTGGCAAATGTGCTGACGAACTGTGCCCTCCTTTTTCAGGCAACCCCAAATGCCCCCTTTTACTCTCTTTTCATCGATCTCTCGTGAGTACGTATTTTCGGGTGTGAGAAATTCCCTTTTCATCTCTGATATTTTGCCCTTTTTTATTTTGACTCGTGCCCCTTTTCCTTTTAAATAAGTGTACTTTTTCCTTCGTAATGAGAACTCCCCCTTCTCTTTCTCTTAAATGCCACACTTCACCTCTGATAAGCGCCACTTTTATTTTGACATGTGCCATTTCCTTTCTAATAAGTACCATATTCCCTTTGGATAAGAGCCCCTTTTCCTTTTTTTATACGAGCCTCTCAAATGAACCAATTGTGGGGTTAACTGCCCCCAAGCCCCCCCCCCCCCCTCCTCTTTTAAATACCCATATATCATATGGAATTTTCGACCTGTCATTACTGTATAAATCACTAAGTTTATATGCATCTGCATGCATTAATCAAAATGGGGTTTGGATGCAACACATGTATTAGTACTTTAACCAACGATATGTATAATTGCAATGACCATTGCACCATCAATCAAATCACATCAAGCCTCGTCACCATATTTTCACAAACAAACATTTTGATGAGATCCATTTCCTCACTTTTCGTACTCCTAATCTCAAACAAAGACAATAAAAACAAAGCACTATTTATGAAAGCTACAGGGATCATGGTGACCAAAGAAAATCAAAGCTGCATTTAATACAAACATATCACTTGCATTTAATACAGACATATCATTTGCATTTAATACAAACAAATCACTTGCATTTAATACAAACATATCAATTGCATTTAATGCAAACATATCACTTGCATTTATAACAAACATATAAGCTCACACGTAGTGTGATTACCGTATTCAGAACACAAAGTGTAAATATTTCAGACCTGTCATTAATACAATATTTTTCATGAAGTCCAAACAGTTGAACAAAATTTAAGTGACATAGTTATGCATGTTTCACCATTTATTCATCGACAGTCATCTTGAAATATAGAATCAATAAATGAAATATAATGCATTCTTTAGAAAGTGAAGAAATCTCAAACTGAGATCTTTACTATTTTTACAACTTGGGTCACATTGAAAAACTGAGACATGATTCTTAACAGGACATGGCTTTCTGTTTTGTACTGATAGTAATACTTTATGAAAACAGATCTACAAGAGCCGTTGAATGCAATCTTGCAAAATGACGACAATTAAAACTGGCAATGATACAACATTTAGAAGAACATTAAGTGCATGATCACAAACTGAATAGTGGAATGTTTGACATATTTCTTACAAACTGATAACATACTACATAGATGGAGTATCATGACCCCCAAAACATTCAGAACAAAAATTATATTGTAATTAGCATAAGATCAGAATATGGTCACAGTACACATGACTTCAATTTTATGCACACTATATAAACTGTGTACATTAAAGATTTCTTTCATTATTCAATTTCTACAAAATTTAATGAATAAATTCAAATCAGTACTGAATGAATAGTACATTTCAATGATGATCAAAGGAGAATTTGTGCAAAAAACAAAGAAGCCTCTTTGTGAACTTAAGTCTTGCCTTAAAATATATTGAAGAACTAAATGTGTGATGCAGTAAATGCATCTATTTCAATACAAAAAGCTTCATTACAGACAAGCTGGCAAAATAAGTTACAAATACTTCATAAACAAAACTATGTGTTGTGGAACAGCCTGAACACTTAACAAAACAAGAACTCTCTTCAGAGATAAATTTCAATAATCAGCTTCAACAGGCCTCTTTGATAACTAAGTCTTGCCTTAAATTATACTGAAAATTAAATGTGATGCAGTAAACGCATCTATTTCAATACAAAAAGCTTTATTACAGATAAGTTGGCAAAATGGGTAATAAATATTTCTTACACAAAACTATGTGTTGTGGGACAACCTGAACACTTAACAAAACAAGAACTCTCTTCAGAGACGAATTTAAGCTTTCAGCTTCAACAGGTATTATTCAATCAATCAATAATTTTCATTGGAATATAAAGGCTAAGCCCGTCCAATAATCAATGGGTGGATTTTTATACACCTATGCACTATAGCACAAATCAGCCTAAAGAAGAAAAATAAAGAAGCTACATTTAGAATAGACTACATGGAGTAAAATGTAGATACACTTGACTCACTGTGGCAGAGATTAGGTTAGTATTAGGCATTCATGTTTGCTAGTACATAGACATTAATCCCTATATACCTTTTTAAACACAGGTAATACTGTAATCTGATTACTGGCATGCATTCTAATGATGGAACAGTCTGACGTCAGTATGGGAGAGGATGATGTGGTGTTCATTACATGCCTCGATGATAGCCTGGTCTGCCAAAGCTCCTTTAGGACTAGCAATGTAGGACACGCCACTCTGTTTTAAAGATAAAAATATATATTTAAAGGTTAAAGGAGCTAGCAATGAAGGGCACGCCACTGTGTAATATATAACTGCCATTACACAAAAAGAGTGTTTTTGTTATTCAAAGGATGCAGTAATTACTGAAAATTTGAAACTCTCCAAAACATGAAATCCTTGTATGTTGACAACATGCAACTGACTTATAGTCTATGTTTTATCTTATTGCAATTTGAACACTGCTGACAAAACGTAAGTTACAACCACTTTTACTGATATCAAGGCTTCACACAAATGTGCAAAAGTAAATTGCAAACATAAATATTTTATATTCCTAAATTGGAGTAAAAGCTGACTAGATTACTCCCACTACCAAAAGGTAAATTGTACTTTGATTCAAAAACATTTTTTAAGGTTAACCATAATACTATACTGAAGGATCATTTCAATCTTGCCTAGTATATCATAGAAATGGGGTGATATGGTGCTTACTCTGAAATTATAAAGCACATCAACTTTATGCTTTCTTTATTTAACATAATTTGACTAGTTTCTCATACAAAGATACCAGTGATTTTCATAATGTGCTCCAGGTAGTCTGTATCATTAACAATGGCAAGATGATAAGGCTAAATAAAAAACAAAACATGTTAAATGTCCTTCCTTTTTTTTATTTTTTATTTTTTAACTACCGCTTGGTACATTTTCCCTGACAGTCGGGCTATTTTTCAAGATGGCCCTCAGGATTTTTTTTTTAAATCAGAAATAGATCCATTTTAGCAGTGTTTTTCATGTTTAAATTTTTGTTTTAATAAATCAAATTAAATTAAAAAAAATAAAAAATAAAAAAAAGAAAACAGCCCCCAAAAAGGAAGTGAGCGGGGAAACTAAACATGTAAACAAAATTAAATGGCCTAATTTTGTCTTTTTATTGGTCAAATAACTATGAATTCTCCATTCCTGGATTAAGCCTATGGGAATGAAAGAATTCAGTAGTCGATGGGTTAATGAAGGCATACCTGACTAGCTCGGTCAATGTTGTCTCTGAATGGGAAGAAAGCATCTGAACTCAAAGCGACATCACTCAGCTGTGAGATCCATTCCTTGCGTTCAGCCTGGATAAATACAACAATCATATCAAGTTATAAAGGTAGTGATGCAAAATGTCTTGAGAACCCAATTCTGGTGGATATAGTGGGCAATGTATAAACATCTTCATTATCACAATTACTATCATAAAATAGCAGCTTCACATTGTATTAAACAAATATGGCAAGATAAAAACAGAGGGCAATGCATAATCCATATTTACTTAGTCCTATTCAAAAGTCTTTAAAGATGAAGACCAGTAGTGGTAAAATTGAGGTTCAAAGGTTTTGGGTGCAAACAAATCTATTCAATATTGTTTAAATATTGCCTTCAGAGGTTTAGATGGCAATACTTCAACCTAAATTCGCAAAAAAGCAGATATATATGCCCAATGTTGAAGTGCATTTGTGACATCTTTCCAGGCCGGATCGACATGATAATTTACCAAATATATCAATTAGTAGGCGGTTTCCCGGCAAGATGTGTATCATCACGTATTAGTCAAAACATATTCTTTCACATGATTGGTAATAAGAGCTTCCATTTCATTTTTTGAGAGGGGGGCGTTTCCAAAATTGGTCTATACCTTTGAGCTGTACTAAGTTGATACTTTTCCATCACTCTATTACTTTGCACTTGGGTAAAGTTAACATTAATCAGTATTTCATGCTTACCTCGGTCAGAATGGCAGGTGGATTTTCCAACATCCCTTCCCAAGTCTCTCGGCTCATGTCCTGCAAGGTGACATAAAAATATCATTGAAATTAAAATTAAGCATTTATTATCCATTCAGAAAATAAATAATCATAATCATAGACAGTGGTAAACTACATTCATAAAATAGATTTAGTTGGGCAATTTACGTAAAAATAAGTTTTGTACGATGAGGATGTAGACAGAGAGAGTTGAAGAGGACCAAAGGTAGGTAGGCAGAGGAGGTGGGTAGAGCAGTGAAGAAAAGATAGAACTAGAGAAAGCCGACATCAGATTGGAGATGATAACAACAGGGAAAAGGAGTACAATGTCATATAGTAAACAATCAGTGCGAGAATTGTCAAGGGTACTAGGGTGAGAGGAAAGTAAAGGTCAAACAAAATGAACAATTAAGTTTGCACGACATACGGTCTGCGATAAATGGTACAACCAATATCATATATATATATATATATATATATATATATATATATATATATATAGATGCATATCAATAGACTGTTACAAAGCGAGAAAAATAACTTTCACCAACGTGTAAATAGATTTCCATTTCAATTAATTCATCAGGGTTATTTTTACTTGCAACTTTTCTTGAGTGCACAATCTCATGTACATAAATAATGCCCAGTGTAGTTTACAACTACATCCCAAACATTTTAAATGCTACATCTTTATGCATTTATTTCTTACCTCTCCTACAGTTCCGTTCACATAGACATCTATGACATTGGACATCTCGGCTCTCTTCACACCAGGCTTGAACTTCATTGACTGAACATTGGGGTGATGACGGAGCCACCTGATGACAAAGATATATATTAGGACATGTCATTTGTGAAACAACAAACCTTGTAATAAATACGAATACATGCTAACAATTTTGGTAATACATTCATCTGTATTTTTTTCTAATCCATTGATATCAGCAGTTTGGATAAGGGTGTTATCTCAACATCAAAACAATATTAAAGTTGAAGAGAAATGTTGATTGCTTAGCACTTGTTAATGGCAAATATGTATTATGAAATAAATGTCTCAATGTCCTTTTGCAATCACAAAGTTGTCCATGAAATGTATTCTATTCAAATACATAGACATATAAGAAAGAAGTGCTATATTACATGCATCTTGAAACATAAAACATCAAAGTGTACCGATAACTCGTCAATAGAATATGAGTTGCCACACAAGTAATCTTACCAGTTGTTAGCCTTGTCTCCCGCAAGTCTTGTGCAGTGAATACGGGACTGCTGGCCTGCTCCTGTGCCGATGACCTGACCGTTCTTAGCGTAGCAGATCGAGTTAGATTGGATGTACTTGACTGCTATTGTGGCAACAATCAGGTCACGAAGGGCGCCGTCACTCAACTGTCAATACAAATTAAAGAGACTTTAAAAACGAGTACAAAGGCCACATTTGCTGTTTCCCTTGAAAATGGTTTCTCATTGAATCGTGTACTAAAGGAACCTGTCTACAAAGATCACCCGTCTACAAAGGACACTTTTTGTGTTTCCCTTGGGCGGTAGCTGTAGACAGGTTTGACTGTATTTGTTGAAATTTACTGGATAATTTTATGGTGGGCAGCACCTACTCCTGGATGGTGTTTCACAAACCCTTTTTTCAATGACAAATGACAAATATCATTGATAAATTTGCTGGTAACCAATCAGAATCAAGGATTATACTAGGTTATAACAGAAACTGTCATTTGTCACTGATGACAAGTTTTGTGAAACACCCCCTTGGTTTTGATCAACATGCTCTGATAATCAAGAGAGGCCTCTCCCTCTAATCAAAACAAAGCTCTGCAGGAGAGAAATGCTCCAATGGCGGTATGATGAACCGAAAGGAATAAGTCAAAGTTCGATGTAGCACCCAAGGATTCAGTCCTCTCATCTCAGACGCCAATTCATAAACCTAAGTCTACATCATAATGCGAAGACTCCAGCAATACAAACTGTCAGCAATGACCATACAGTGATTTCTACAAAGCGAAATGTCGGCTGAACCACATACCACGTTCTTGTCTGTAACCACATTGCCAAACATTTTCTTGGTGATGTCTGCGTTGTTCCTGAGCTGAGTCAGCTGCATTCCATACAATGTACGTGTCTCCATTGCATCAGGCTCATAGGTAGGATCCATCTGAAATCGATGTCAACAATAAATATTCATATTAAATTCAAGTTTGTATGCATCTATATCATATGTAGGAGCTAAATACCCAACAAGTGCTGTACAAACTGACATGATATTCAAATTTATACAATTATTTGTATTGATACTTTTATAGTGTTCAGTGTTCAACCTACATAGGTGAAACTCAAGAGTTTACTGATAAATCTTTGTAGAACATTCCTCTGTCCCCTGTAGCTACAATGATCTGTCACCTTCAATCCATTAATATCTTTATGAGCAATGGTTAGGATATTACAATTGCATTTGGAATGTTATTGCTTGCTTGGTTCCTTGTCTGGCAATCAGGGCTTTCCATCTACTTCTATCTCTGGTTCTTTGTAATGTGAAGTCAGTATCCTGTTTACTGTGCCTTCTCTTGTCATAATATGCGCAACAAACTGAAAATGTATTTTCCTCATGATTTTGAGGAGGGATCTATTGACACAGGCCTTATTGACCACTTTTCCTTTGACAGAGACGAGAGGGAGGAGGAATGTTATAATTTGCATAGACCCTAGCATTACGACACAGCAGGGTTGTTGCCCTTACCTTAAGCACACAATATTTGCCTCCTTTCTTCTTGGCTAGCACAGCTAGAGCCTCAGGGTCATATCCTGGGGCAATGATGCCATCAGAGACCTGGTAAGTACAGAGGAGAAGTATTGAAAGAGGTTGTGAATTTGAATTTATTAACCATATATACATGTGAAAGCAAAACATACAATAGAAAATAGAATACATAAAACATACATAGTACAAAGCAAATATATGATCAGGACCACAAAGGAGCAAATTGCTTATAAATGGGGCTCTCACAAAAAAATGAATTCAGTCACCATACCCACACATGCACACACACACACCAACACATACACAAAATACTGTAAACTTTCAAGGTTGAGAAGCTAATTGACCATTTTTTTAAATGTATTTAAATCAAATGCACAAATCTTTGAGAGAGAGAGAGAGAGAGAGAGAGAGAGGGGGGAGGAGGAACAAAATACTATCATATATCACTATGAAATAAAATATTGAATGGACAAATTACCTCTCTAGAGATGATTTTAGCTGTTGGTAGATCACAGACATCGGAAAGAGCAACAAAATCACCAAAAGATGACATTCTGTCTGCACCTGTTATTCAATACACAGAAACACGTTGTCAGAATCACAATGATACACTTGTCATTTCATACACAGTAACATGGGGAAGGTCAATTTACTCATCTCGTATGTCATCTACCATGGATATATAACTCACTAGATAGCACATTAGCTTTGTAGAAATATCTTACCCCTTGCCCTGGCATATGCTGTAGCTAATGTAGCAACTCATCTCGTATTTCATCTACCATGGACATAAAACTCACTAGATAGCACACTAGCTATGTAGAGATATCTTACCCCTTGCCCTATCATATGCTGTAGCTAATTTAGCTACTCATCTTGTATTTCATCAACCACAGACATATAACTCACTAGATAGCAAACTAGCTTAGAAGAGATATCTTACCCCTTGCCCTATCATATGCTGTAGCTAATGTAGCTACTAATCTCGTACCGTATGTCATCTACTGTAACCATAGATATATAACCCACTAGATAGCAAACTAGCTTAGTAGAGATATCTTACCCCTTGCCCTTGCATATGCTGTAGCTAATGGAGTAAGCGTGTCTATCATGTCATCCACCATAGAAACCTTAGCTTCCTCAGCGGACAAGGGAACTCCAACAGCAGCACCTGCAAGTAAGACAGTTACAGTTCTCTATTACTTTACTTCAAGCGAGTATTGAAGATCTTTGACCCACCAGACTTTCATATACTTAAATAGGTGTTGTCAAATGAGCCCTTGATTATCCACAATTTTTATCTTCCTCATTCTAGCTTTGGAAGTGGACTACGTTCCTGTAACTTTCTCTTTGCTTCATGTATCACGATAACATTCATAAGTTTCATAATACATATATCCATTTCCAGAACTTTACATGATGGATGTAAACAGTCACAATGCATGTTATGTTTCAAAGCCATCTGTAATAAAGCAGACTATCAGGAACATTTTCAATCAATAACAAAGGACTTTTTTTCACTAGCATAGGCACTAGCATTCCCTTCTTTGTAGGGAAAAACTTGTGATACTGTATCTCCCTACATACAGATAGCATTCTTTAAAGAGTATTATACACAAAACCTGATGATTGACTGCCTATTAAAAACTGTTCACCTGTTACTGTAAATGCTGTTATTTTCGCATGATTCATTTTTCACGCTGAGCGACCCCAAAATATATTTGTGGGTTGCACGCAATTCAGCCCGTTCAAAACATGCATACTTATATTTGTGTGAGGTCTAAAATTCGTGCTTGCCGATCTTAGCGCAAAAACCGCAAAATTGAATGTACCTCGTTTTTTTCTTTTACAGTATATGGAATGCTGATCTATCTTTCATCAATCATTCTTTGGAATTGTCTGTCAATTATCCAGAGGCAAAATGGTTTGAAATATACCTGCAGGACTGACATGCTTGAAGGAAGAAGCAGCAGGGAGACCCAGAGCAGCTTTGAGTTCCTTAACCAGCTGCCAAGCATTGAAAGCATCGCAGAGATTGATGAATCCTGGTGACCCGTTGATGACCTCTAGCGGTAGCTTGGGGAGGAAGGTGGATAGCTGGGCCGGTTTCTGGTGAGGATTGGTGCCGTACCGCAGAGGAAGGTTGGACTGACCCTCGCTGTACTGCTGCCTGAAGTAGTTGGAGATGGCCATGTCGTAGGTGGCTGTGTGATTGAAGGCCTGAGATAGATAGAGAGAGAGAGATAGAGAGAGAGAGAGAGAGAGAGAGAGAGAGAGAGGGAGAGGGAGAGAGAGAGAAACAGAGCAAAAGGTCAAATTTGGTGCATCTTTGAAAATATCACAACTATTGCACCAAATCACTAGTAGCACTTTTCTGTTAGGAAAATTTGAGAATTTGGAATTTCAAAACTGTTTTATGGAAAAGAAAAATGAGCAACTATACCTTGACTGCTAGTGCCTTCCTACTCTCAATGGTTGTATCATTATCTGGCCTCTCAACCATCTCTTGGATAATGCTGACAAAATGAACATAAGAGAACAAATTATTATTTAAAAAAAAGAAAAGCAATCTTTAATTCATGAAAGGGGAAGAAAAAAATACATTCAGGAATAAAGAGTAACATCATAAAACTTCTTAAATATACTTCAACATGATTTTAATAATCTCTTGAAAACATTTAATAAATTATAACCTAGGACACGAAAGCTTATCATAAATCAAAGTTCTTAAAAAAACAAAATTGATGAATATATATCAATCAATACATGTATACAGCATGGTGTCTGCCTTTTCTCAAAATGTTAAAGCTTTCCACAAGACTTTTTTTATCAGGAAATCAAACTTACTTGGAGTAGTCTGTGGGATCGCACACAGTGGTTACTCTAGCATGATTCTTAGCTGCAGCCCTCAGGAGAGTCACACCACCTAAATGAGGAAACCAAAATAACTTCATTCATTCAATGTCGCAATGCAATGTTGGTAAAGACCACGATCCTGAAGCAACCATATCCTTTACGAGAGATGTGGGAGATGAAAGTTCCCATTGAGTTTTGGAAAGCTAGAAATTAAATTACACACAGGTTACAATTCAAGCAATATTAAATCATCAAGCAGCTACGTTTACCAAGTGAAAAAACAACAAACATACATACACCTCGTAGAGTTAACAAAGAGACATTGGAGGAAAGTTGTAGCTATCAATAGTCCTAGAAAGTACATGAATAGACTAAATTTCAGACAAGTCGAGGCTATCATACCATGACTTATAAATGACTTAAAGGGATTGGGTATCTTTGTCTCAGATTCTGAAACAAAATCCTGGATTTAGCTCATGCGGCAATGATAATTATAAACCTTAAGGTCAGTCAGGAACCCCCATGACTTTTACAAGCCATTCTGATTATCAAGATATTTTGATTGGAATTATAAATTTTGAAAACCGTTTGCCAAACGGTTTTCATAGCACTACAGTCTATTGGGGGAAATGAGTATGGTAAAAGCGGTCACTCAAAGATTTTTACTTTTTTGAGGCACTTCTAGATCATTTTGAAACACGATTTTTTTTTAGGGTTTCAACATTACACCAAATCACAGACACTTTTAACAGGTAGGGCTGTGCATCTCAGATTTAACATTGTTAAACAATGCCTTTAAAAATAAGGAGGAAATAAAATACACTTCACAGGGGCTTCATGAACTGTACCTTGTCTCAAGTACATAATTCAAAAACTTATTCTTTACAGTAAACCCCAGGAACAGGAAACGTAAGCCCACTGTAAACATTACATTCTCTAATTCTGAAGTAAAATTATTTCAATTTCCACAAAAATATTAAGGAAAATGTGAGATGAATCAAGAATTTACCAATATCGATGTTCTCCACAGCATCTGCCACGGCTACTTCCGGTTTGGCGATAGTCTGCTCAAAGGGATACAGGTTACATGCTACCACCCTGCAAGATCATACACAGTATAACTTGTTAAACAAATATTCATCTAATTATCTATTCGCTCTGAAAATAATTGAATATTTATATTATATTGACTGGGCTTGAGGGGTATATCAGAAATATTGACCAAGCTAAGATCATATTGCCGAAGAGTCGAAGACGAGTGCAATATGGTGTTAGCGCGGTCAATATTTCTGATGTACCCCAAAAGAAGCCCTGTCAATATTATTATTATTACCTGTACAAGGCATTTTTTTTACAAATGATATACAACTTTGGTATCAATCTTGATTTTTACTCCCGTCTGTTTGCCAGTCCATCTGATTCATACCTGCCAACCTGAGACAAGAGAAATTAGGAGTAAATTTTTCTGGATGGACTACGAGGTCGCGAACCACCGAAGGATTGGGGTAGTAGCCCGTAGATTGGGGGGGGGGGGGGGGGGGGTACACAGGACTTTAGGGTCTATTTTTTTTTCTCTCCATTTTAATGGTGCAAATGGGCCTTTTCCTTCAACCTTTTCGCCCCACACATAAAGAATTTTTGAAATGTGAACACTCACAAAACTACATGTTTCACTACCCACCTCAGTTAGGAGCCCTATTTTGCAAAGGTATATAGTAGTAGTAATCCAAAATAAATCCAAGGAAGTCCGGTAAATAACAAGCTTTCAAGATCGCAGTCATCGCACAAGCATTGAAGAAAACATGCCAATGTATACAGTGTTTATGCACGGCGTATCAACTGCACATGTAATATAAATACACGTGGGCTATACGCAGGTATGGATAAACGTCCCCAAATTGCTGATGTGAGATGCTTGTAGGATACTTTACAGGACAGAATGGACATTTTGCTATTGAAAATGGCGGACGCACACACAAAATATTAATTTAAAAAAATTATTTAAAAAAAATAAATAAAATAAAAAATAAATAAAATTAAAAAAAATCAGAGTTTTGAGGCATGCACTCGGAATTCGGAGTTGGTATGAAAAATGCGGAGAAACTCCGCCTAAATCGGGGTGGTTGGCAGGTATGCTGATTTCAGGTTATTGAGGCAGGTATGTAATTGTGACGTAACAATGATTGTTATCGCGTGTAAATTGAATCCTACTGCGCAAGCGCACTGATGGAATATGGCTCAATATCCCCCTCTGATTTAGTACAGTGGTCTACGGTCTACAGCTACATATTCAGAGCAGTGTACAAAATGCAACTTTTTATTTAGCAGCTAAAATGCCTTGTACATGTATAGATAATAATAATTATTATTATTACTAATTTGGCGTCATCTGTGCCTGGAAAAAAGAAAAGTGCGAAAAGTGAACTGAATTGCTGTAACCCTCAGGTCTTTCCTCTCGGTATAACTGATTGGGGGTGTGTAGGTGGACCACTACGCCGGGGTCAAAGTAAATATTGAAGTAAATGCCTACCTGATGTATTGGTAGTTATTTTTCAGCAGATCAGCAGCATCTTCCTCAGTTTTCCTTGCCAGGATACCTGATAAAGAGACAACAAAATAACTTAATTTAATTAGTAGTTCTTTTGGATCATTTTCTCAAGGGTTATGCAACAAAACTAAGAAGATAAACAATGGGGACACGTTTTTCACAATTTCAAAGGATCAACTGGATTTATACACATAGCGTCAAAAGATAATTTACCATGTCTAGCATTATACTAAGATCATGTACACAAGACGGTTTTAATTTAGAGCCTTGATTTCAAAAGAAATTTCTTACCTCCATGGACGGCTGGATGGAGGGTTTTGACCCTCCCTCCAAGCATCTCAGCTACTCCTGTGATGTCACTCACATCTCTGTCATGATAAAACAAGGAGCATCATATGAATGATGCGAGGATAGGTAATATTATTAATATTAAATGTATCAACAATAATAATAATCTGGATCAATATAGCATTTAAAACGAAATACCATCTCTACCAACTTTACAGATCGCATTACCTTAGTACTTGCATTCATTTACACACAATGTGCACCATCTTCACTCCTTGGGGAGTATTCCTACCATATACTCAGTATAGTTTACTAGATCTTACATAGAAATTTAAAAATTATCTAATTTGTTATGTCTTGAATTGTTCTGTCTTTGTTTGTCGACAGGAATGGACCCTGCATACATTTAATATTATCACCCGTAACTGAAACCAACACACAATTAATATCACGGTATTAGTCTCTTTTTATTCCACCAAGCTAAATTTTTGCACCTTGCACAAATGCACTTCTCAACACAAAATATTTCACTAAATTTGTTTTGTTATTTTCGCTCAAAATTAATTCAGCCATGCTCACTTTTAATCACTTCAATTATATCTTATTTAACATTGAATACAATGCAGTTGCATGGGTTGTTCTTTTATTTTGTTAACTCGGCAGAGGCCACGGTCATGTTCAAGCATTTACGCTTATGACATATGGTCTCCTGCTTTTTCCTTTTGTATGAAACTTTTATTTTAACTAGAAACAAATTTTTGCTTTTGAATATATTTTATTTTGAGGCTACAAATGGCTCTCCATAATTTTAAAGTCCAACTTAGAGTTAAGTTGGACTTAGAATCTATGTGAAACACCCCCCCCCCCAGGACCACTTTGGTAGGAGAAAGATAGAATGGTCTTACTTGACAGGGATACCAGCCGCCTTGAGAGCCTTGGATGTTCCTCCAGAGGCAATCAGCTGTAGACCTAAGCGATGAAGCTGGGTGGCAAAGTCAATCAGACCTTCCTTGTTGAAAACACTCAAGATTGCTGTGAATACAATGAGAAAAGAGAAGATTAGAAAACAGGCTTGTTCCAAGTTTTATGGTAGTCTACCTTCAAATGAAACATCTTGTCTGCTTGGAATTAGAGCTTTTTTTAAAACAAGTAGTAGTGGTGGTGGTGGTTATTTTACCTGACTGCTTAGAAAGCATAAATGCTTGTTGATAAGCAACCAGAGGACCGACAGCTTTAGGTCCTCTCTGAGGGACCTGGTAATGAGAATTAATGCCTTACCAAAGGGCACTAGGGCGTTGACTTGGTTTCGAACCCGGGTCGCCGGATTAAGAGACCACTGCTTTACCGACTGAGCTATCTCGCCTCCTCAATAAACAAGTGTCGACTCTTGATGCTCTCCTCTAAGACAGATGGAACCAGCTGCTTGCTGCTTGCCTCAACAATTGGCATTGTGTCTGAGCGTGCGCGCGTGGATGTCAGATGTGTCTAAATCAGGCTCCCAAAAAACCTTCGAAACTTGCAAATATATTCGTTGGAATCTCAATTATTGAGCTAGTTTTTGGCTGATATCAACTTCTTTGTGGATTTATGCTGGATTTTCTTTGTTGGAGCATTTATTCTTTGATTTTAGATTGAGGATTATTGCTCTCAACTTATTACATACTCGCACTAGAAAAAAGTGTCTGTTAATTCAATCGCAGTACATCGGACTAAGATCAGCCTATAGTAAGCCTACAGGCTACACTCAATGATACACACACTTCTCGCTCTAATATTCAAGCTAAACCCTTTCGCGGGCTTCAAGGAAATTTTGCTTGAGGAATTTCGCGTTGTGGATTTAGCACACTAGTAGATTCTAGGGGTTATTTCAAGTTGTATGAAAAAGATTCCGCTAATCAGGAATCATCAACTATGGAAAAAATACAGAAAAAACTGACTAAATTATCTCCTTTTGGCATAAGCAAGGAGGAAAATGAAGAAAGTGTTGTAGAAATTGCGGAAGCTGTATCTGGAAAAGAGTTTGTTGATAAAACAGCTAAACGCAGTCGTAGTGGTTCCATTCTAAAGGCAAAGAGATCGCTTGAAAAACCTGAAGAAAACGTAGAGAAAGGAGGAAGGAAGGCAACTTCCAAGATCAAAGCTGGGACATCTGCTTCACAGGGGACAGGAAACTACACATGTGAGTTGGGCTTGTCTTCGATGCCAAGATGTGCCAATTGAGATGTATGACGTACTGTCTAATCATGCAAACCTGCATTGGTTTTGAAAGGAGTGTGAGGACAGAGCAATTAAGGCTGTGAGACATGCCTATGGCTCATCATCATCATCTACTTCACAAACAGTTGAGCAAATCATCATTGATGTTAAGAAGGAAATTACAGAGGTGAAAGAAGAAATCAAAAGCCTGAAAACTCTTAACAAGAGGGCCCATGTTGTTGGTAATGGATCTAGTGCCAGTACCAGTATTTCTGGTCCTGCTCCGGGTTCACCACCGGGACTACTCAAACTCCCAGGTTTATCAACCGTCCTGACTGAATGTGTCAATGTCGCCACAATGGAAGAAATCATGGACAGAGAGAAACGCAAAAACAATGTTGTAATTTCCAACCTCCCAGAGTCTAAGGCAGACATTGCCACAAATCGAGAAAAAGAGGACTATAATGGAGTGAAGAGTCTTTTCACCAGTGGTATGGAGATTACCGGGGTCAAGATGAAGAACGTTACTAGACTTGGTGGGGTCCATCAGAGCAAGGATAAACCCAAAGTTCTGCTAGTTAAACTTGAGGCGATGGGCATAAGAATGATATCCTTTCATCTGCCCGCAAATTATGAAACACTGAGAGATGGACTGACACATGTCTCACCGGATCTGAATCCTACCCAGCACAAGGAGAGGAGAACTGTGTGGGAAGAGGTCAAAAGAAGGAGGAATGAAGGTGAAACTGAAACTGACATCTTCATACATAATGGGAGGATCATCATGGCTAAGAAGAACCACAGGAGAAAACATGGACATGATGGGATAAATACAAAAGTGAAGGAAAGTGGTGATGGCCCAAGATCTGAAGGGGCAGCGGGAGGAGACGTACCTCCTCAGCATTGACTGGGGCGGGGTACAGCCAGCATTTTAAACAGTTGTCCATCAAGAAAACTCAGAGATGGTAATGGTTTTAGAGTACTGTATACAAATGCTGACTCACTTACGAATAAGTTTATTGAACTTCAACAATTAGTGTATGTACATGATCCAAACTGTGTTATGATTACCGAGGCTAATCCTAAAAGTTCAGCTTTTGCACTGCATCCAACATCTGTGAGTTTGCAAGGGTACGATAGTTTTTGTAACTTTGATGAAAACTAAGGTGCGAGGCATCCTCATGTACATGAAGCAATCTTTATCTGCCACCAACATTCAGAACAGCTCCGATTTCTCAGAATCTGTATGGATTTCAGTAACTCTTTCTGAAAATATCCCTTTGTTGTTGGGGTGTGTACATGTAATATCGCAGACCATCTTCAACATCACTTAACAACAAACTATTGTGAAAACTGGTACGCGGCATTACCTTGAGAAAAGAGCGGCATATTCTTGTTGTAGGAGATTTTAACTTTCCAAGTATAAACTGGAGTAACTGGCATCTACAGTGGAGTGACGAACAGCCCGCTTATCAATTTTTAACTGCAGTGCAGGACATTTTTCCTCTGCCAGCACATATCACGCGCTACCAGATTTAGGGAAGGACAACAGGCTAACATTCTGGACCTTGTGCTCACTGATGAATTGGACCTCATCTACGACATCAATATTTGCCTCCCCTGGCCCTGTAGACCGAATTTTCCGTCTCTTTCGTTCGTTAGCCTCTTATTGGGGTAGGGTCGGCCGGCTCTCTCTTTAGAGACAGAAACCGTCTATACACATTCCCTTGATAACGCCACGGCCATTTCAGGTCGTAGCGTTTTGTCCCCAAAATCCCCCAAAATGTCATTTTACCTCGTGAATATCCAAATGTAAATTAGGCCTAGGCTATAATACATCGGTTCCACTTACTAAATTTATTGAAATAATCCGTTTAATGGTCCCTTTTAAGAAAATTATGGGTCAAAATCGACATCCATGTTGAAAGTCTTGCAAGCCGTGTTAAACTCTCGCTGCCCGGAGTCATCTAAATCAATCTCATCCCTTCTAGTCTACGCCGAAGGCAAAATGATTATGAAGGAAAAACTGTGCGCCATCTACACGTTCGTAATGGCGTTATCACAGTTTTTCCTTCATAATCATTTTGCCTTCGGCGTAGACTAGAAGGGTTGAGATTGATTTAGATGACTCCGGGCAGCGAGAATTTAACACGGCTTGCAAGACTTTCAACATGGATGTCGATTTTGACCCATAATTTTCTTAAAAGGGACCATTAAACGGATTATTTCAATAAATTTAGTAAGTGGAACCGATGTATTATAGCCTAGGCCTAATTTACATTTGGATATTCACGAGGTAAAATGACATTTTGGGGGATTTTGGGGGCAAAACGCTACGACCTGAAATGGCCGTGGCGTTATCAAGGGAATGTGTATAGACGGTTTCCGTCTCTAAAGAGAGAGCCGGCCGACCCTACCCCAATAAGAGGCTAACGAACGAAAGAGACGGAAAATTCGGTCTACTGGCCCTGGGGAGGAGTGACCACTGACCACTGCTGTCTATTGATGAACACGACACTTCAACGTGAAGAACCATAAGAGAAAAAAGAATCTGTCTAGATCTAGATCTATGACTTCAATAAAGGCAATGAACTATGAAGAAATGAGGAAAATTTTGTGTGATGTTAATTGGGATGATTTTTTTGCCAATTCTAGCTGTACTGACTAATGGAAAAAAGTGTCTGATAAAATCCATCAATGTACGCTAGAGAATATTCCAAAGAGAGTCATGGGGAAAGGCAAGAAAAGGAATACCTATTTAGAATCTACATGACTCATGAAGCTTCGACTATCTCCAAGAGAAAGCAGAGATTGTGGAAAAGATCTTAGGAATCAAACAGCGCATGGGATTATGCTACATATGCTCACCAAGTTCTTGGGCTGCCATATTTCTGCAATTGAGAACAAGTCAATGCTGAAAGTGATACTGAGATAGATACTAAACAAATCGGCAGTCTGTCGAGTCGCGCCAGCTCCAGTAAAGGGATTCTGTGATGCAGTGAAAATGCAGAGTAGCACGTGTACTGTACGTACGTATCGAAAAATCTCTTCACAACTCTTGTAAGAGGATAAATCCGCTAGTAAGAAAAGTAGTATGAAGTATCATTATTACATCCGCGCTTTTCCTAATATATATCTTTCATTTTTTTTATACAAAAGTTATCATAATGTTTTGATAAAAACATCAATTTTTGTAATATTTCTGTTTTTTTTAAAGAACCGTCATTTTGCGTAATAATTTTATTTCAAAATAAGTACACCGCCGGAAATTTTCTTTCGCGGGGTATTTAATTTTCGGGGAACCCCCTTTTGCGAGTCACAGAATTTGTTGTGGTGCTAGCTCGCGAGTTCTTTGTTGACAATACAGTTGCGTATTTTTTTATCTCGTCAACTTTCTGATGTCACACACGTCGTGGAGCGACATAGCCCCGAATTTCAGCGCATTATGCATTTTGTGATAAAATCAGCAAATTTGGCCCACAAATTGATTAACATTTTCATAGCAAACTTGGATGTTGAACCAACCCAAATTGAGATTCGCATAGTAGTGATCTCATATTTTTTTAAACATTCATAACTTTTTATATTTTTTATTATTTGTCCGATTTCTTTCAAACTTTTGCCATTCTGTTAATCCTTTATTTCTGCTTCCGTGTACATGAACTTAGTACAAGGGCTGCATTGCCCTTTAATTATATTATATATTTGTCATGTACACTCTCTGCGCCTTGAGTATAAATCTTTTGACAAGCAAACCAAACAAACAAACATACCATGATACAAACAGAAGTAAACAAAGAGCAAAATAAAGAAGAAAACAAATCCCAAACAATTTTTATCGGAAGGGGGGGGGGGCACTGCTAACCCCGACAATGCCATGAGAAGTTTTTAAAAAATAATTATGGAATGCCATTTGGGGGATGCCTTTTTTTACTATACATTCGCTGTCAAGCAAAACCAAATGAATATAATGGCGATGGCGAGTTTAGCTATCAGTCTAGTCAATATTTGTTTATTTAAACATTCCAACTACTTCCATATTATATTCACATTTTGGTTTATTTTCTACCTTTGAAATATGTACGATTTCTTTTTACCGTGTAGGATCACTACGCAGCATTGCTATGTAAGGAAAGGTTCTTCATTTAGAGCCTGTAATGAACTGTTACAAACGGAATGTGATCTCTACAAATAGCACACTACCGGCTATGATAACATGAATATACCATATATACCATTTTCGTAATTTTTTTCTAGGCAACATATTGGCCTGCCCTACCCAATAACACGGAATGTATCGATTCGCATTTGGACTATCGACCAACAATTATTCGTAACAGGTGAATGAAATAATTTGTAACGAGGCACTAAACAAATATTTGTGCAATCAATTTGATTACATTACCAAAATGACCTATTGAATAGACAGGTTTCCTCTTATTCACTGCTGCTATATCAAGGAGCCTAAGCATACCTCAACCTGTTATTTTGGGGAAAGAATAGGCATTTTTCGTAATGTAACCAAATTTAATGCATAAGTCTTTGTGAAGTGCCTCAATACAAGTTATTTCATTAACCTGATAAGAATAATAGTATTCCAAAAGTCAGAATGCAAACTGCATATATTAAGTGTTGCTAGGTAGGTCAAGTCATGTTTGTCCAACCTGGTAACAACTAATGTATGCAATTCGGATTCTGTCTTTTGAAATACTATTATTCTTTTCAGATGAATGAAACAATATGTATTGAGGCACTTCACAAAGACTTATGCATTCAATTTGGTTACATTACGAAAAAGGCCTTTTACATCACAACGGAATCTGTTCACTGAGTTTAGGGAGGCATATTTCCCAGATGACCCCAAATAACCACATACATGTACCTCTTATAAAAAAAGGTCTCATTGCGCATTATTCATGTAATCACTCTTAAAGGGGTGGAGGTGCAGTGCTTCATAAATAACTCCCCCCTCCCCTAGTGGGATCAATGTTTCCACCAGTGTATCGTGTAATGCACTTTTAATGCATAACTGAATTTATATTAGGCATTTTTTCCAAAACAGCATATCCAAGATGATCCATGATGTTCAACGCAAGGTCCAATTTCATTTTCATCATTTCAACAAACTAGAGCAAAATACCCTGGATATATCAAATAGGTTAACTATACAAAGCTTATTTATGAACTGTTTGATAACTTAACATTAAAGGCATGTTCTTGTATTTAAAACAAAAAAGATTTATCGAATTTTGTGGGTCAATCGTCACTTACGCAATGACTTTTCATTTTCAAGATTTTAAAGCTCTCTTTCGTTTGAGAAGGATGTAATGAATGCACATGGGTTGGATATTCAATACATTACTACCCCCTCTCCCGATCCCTTTTGCCAAGGTTTCAATCATGTTCGAGAGGACTTGACTGCGCTGACACAAAGCAGATTCTCTGTCTTTAGAGTTTTACTAGGGCGCCCCCGTGCAACTCTTTAAAAAAAAAATCTGAGCATATGTACAGTGGAAAGAGCTCTTAACCCTTGTATTTAAGGGAGTTTACAGATTCCATCTGCGCATGGGCAGATAAAGGTCATTTGTACCAAAATGGTAAAACCCACAGAGATGAATACTGGATAATGCGCTCATGAAATTTATGTAAAATTATTCATTTATGCACCAACGGTACATTCTTTGATACGCAGGTGGAAGTATTCTTTTCAAGAGGTCAAACAAAAGGTATCCATGAAGCACATCTAGGACTTTGGCAGTTATTATTCTAAGATGCTCAAATATTGAATGGCAAACTCGATGCAGTATACAATTTGCTACTGTTCTTCTAGTTAAACTTTTGGATTTGAGAGATTCTTTAATATTTGTAAGGCATATTAATACCGTGAAAATATATTTTTCTAAGAATTAAAGCTGTATTAATTTTGATAAGTTCATCCAAGGGACGAACCAGCGTGGCACTCCATATAACGATATGAACGTTCGAAATCCAATTATATTTTGGGATGCCTAAAAGTACTGCCTGTTTGGTGTAAACAAACTAAAAGTAATTGAAAAAAAGTTGAACATTATTTGTCATGGTTATTTCAAGAGCTTAACCTATATGTTTGATGCAAAGAGAGCTGTGTATGCTTGATTGGTATAGTATATTCACAGTCATTAAGTACAACAATGAAAAGTGGGCCCCCTCCTGAATTCATTAAAAAAATTCAGTTGGCAGGAAATCCACCTTTTTAATAATTGTATTGACAAAGCGGGAAGTTCAGTATTTGTCTTGTTTCTCTTATTTTCTCTTGTTTCTTTTATTTTCTCTTGTTTCTCTCATAAGCTACCCCTAACCAATTAAAGAGGCAATAGTACTCGCTCACCACAATCTGGGGCATGAAATTAAAATTGATCAATATCTTTATCCCTTTAGTTTAAGATATGAGGCAAAGCAATCAGAACATAACTAGACCTTCAAATGGGTAAAGCATTTAAGAGAGGATGAGAAATATATTTTATCTCAGATCATGAATAAGAAAAGGAAGTGATGGATTTGGCCACTGATTCATTCAAGGCTTCAACGCAAGGTCTAGATCCTGTAATAGGCAATTGTAATACAAACTACTATCGTGAAAAATAGCGAATTAGGACGCTAAGTTTATTCAAATCTACGGATTTGAAAAGTAAACGCGCGATCAATGGAACTAATCGGTTTCAATTATTCTCGCCAATGACTAAAGTTGATGTACAAAAGAAGTTATTATAACGAACGTCAACATGATAACTATACCCACTCCTCGGCTTAACCTAGATTTACCATGGTATTATGCTCAATGCAATGGCGGGATTTACAGGATCGTATGCAATGAGCTGAATCTCCACCAGCGTAAAATGGTATTCAATAACATTTATATAATGATACCAATGAAAAAACCGCACAAATCTGATCATTCACAAAGCAATGTTTAGCAACTTGACCTAGATTTGATCTCACAAAAGGTTAGAAATTTGAATTATGAAACATATATATTTGGTTATCAAGAGAAAGCGGAAAAGTACATTGCCCTGGATTAGGGTAATCTGTACAAATATTATTGCATGGAAATTGGAAGTCCCAAACTTCACCTAATAAGGAAGAAAAAACTTTTTCAGCTATTGGCAAGCAGCCAAATTTGTCGAAAATTTTCCATTAATTTGCACTGAATATGAACTCTATAAATACCTATACTATTCCACTTGTGAGTTAATTTTGGAAATGCTATTTGTATATTGCTTTGATTATCTTATGTAATATCTATATATTATGATGTAGCTTTTATAACCCGAAATGATTTGTATTGATGTAATAGTTTGTGACTCTCTCTCTTTCCCTTTTCCCTTCTGTACTATCCTTCTCTCTTAACCCTTACTGTACTGGGCTATTTTGAGCTATTTTGAGCACGTCACTGACTGGGGGGGGGGGGGGGGGGCTGGAAGGCCTGGGAGGCCTGGGAGGCCCCCCCCCCCCCCTCTATGATCTCGGCCGTCGAATGTCCGATGAACACGAACATTTGCATGTTTGTAGATATTTACGTAAGGAACAAGATGGTATAATTAGTTTTTTTTCCTAATATGCACATTTTTGTCGTTATAGCCTAATTAATTATGCAAAATGCTAAAGTTATGCATTTTACAGAAAACTCTTCATATTTGTCTGTAGACTTGTGAAGAATCTTGAAAATGTATTGAATAAATGTTTCTTTCATCTCAAATTCATGAGGTTTCATTATTTTTATGATATTTTAAAATGAATAGGTTAATTTCCTTAAATTATGAATACGCAAATTACGCATTTATGAATATTACATCTGGAAATATACACGGAACTAGAATCATTACAAACATTTTCAGACTCCACTTTTTGAATGTTGAAACTCATTATTCATATGAAACTTCTTTTCTAACACAAATTAGTATTTTGATGTAATTAGTAATGATAATTTATGCAAATTTGCGATTATGCGATTTTTTTTCTTCAAATATTCATTTTCTTATG